CTGATGATGATTTGCTGAAAACATATGTTTGCCAATCTTGACTTCTCAACTTTAGTGATTACGCTTGGTTTCCATTTTTTCATCTCATTTATCCGATCTTTTAATTTATGCGCTCTTTTCAATGGACCTTTTCGAGTAATTAAACAAGCATATGCTTTCCACTGCTACTTTTACCCCCTCTTTTCTAGGGTCATTGGCCTACAATCGCCTTTTGTTCCACCCGTAAAACCTCTCCTTGTACCAGTCCTGTTGCACAGGAATACTGGTTTAGGGTTTACTCCTTGAACTTGCATACTGAATGTTCAACAAAAACGTGTATAGTAGCTGCTCTTGCTGCTTGCTGCTTGATCGCCAGGCTGTGAGGCGTCCATTTCAACCTGATATGACTTGCTGAATTTTGAGTGATATCTTTTGTGTATTTGGTTCTATACCTGGTAGGCTAGTTAATGCAAATGGATCTTGCGCCCTCGGGCATTGTGTTATTAGATTAAAGTCAGTTTTGCAATTTCAGATCATTTTGTAAGTGGTGGTAATTTCGTCCGGATCAAAGGTTTTAAGATAAAGGCCTTCTGTGTATGTTTTCATCAAATCACATGCAAGAATCCTTCCCAAAAGTGGTAAAGGGACTGAAATTAGGCGGATTTTCGATTTGAAGAGAGTGAAAAGTAGGATTCTAATATTGTCTATAGTGCAGTCGGCTTTTGAACAAACGTCGTTTTGATAGCCTGTGCACACCATACTCTGTAAAAAATGGAAAGTTAAGTAATATGCCTTTTCTTTATTAATTTTCACTGCCCTTTTAAATTAAAACATATTTTAATGAAGAAATGCATGAAAATATTATTTCTCATATGCATTTATTAGAAAATTACGCCTTTTTTCCAATTTTATACTTGAAGGGAGGGTATATTTTGGTATTAAAAACATTCAAATTAGGATATTTTTAAGAGCATAAAATTTTCCTTCATAGAACATCGTATCCGTCAATTTATTAATGATGCCTATAAATCGTACAAAATGATTCACATTAATTACAAAATTCTATCGGATCTTTGTGACGATTTCCCCTCGGCGTTGATAAATGTGATATTTTCCTTAGATATTATGTATGCAGCATGGAGTTTAATAAATAAAAGTTCAAAACTATTCGGCGATTAAAGAAGTTATTTATAACCAAAAGATATTATTTCTTCAGGTATGAATTTTGAAAAAGGCGCAATATGATACCAAAGAACTACAAAACAGAATATTTTTAGGCATTTATTCTATAAGATATATTTGAATTTAAAAGACCATGGAAATTCAATGAAAAAAATGCATGCTACCTAGATGGCTTTTTACGGAGTGTGCTTTTTGCAGGGGATCACGAGGAAGCTCATTCAAAAGCCGGCATCCTGACTTAACTGAAATATTTTTGTTTTAAGCTGTGAGGTAAACAATATTACAATTCCACTTAGCACTTTGTCCGAATCGCAAATACGTTTCAGAATTTCGGTTTACCTTTAGTCAGCTAGCAAACCTACTATACAAATGAGGTTTAAGATTTCACAGGGAACTCTATTGAGCACATCCTAAATTTACAGAAGTAAAACGACCATTTGGCGAGCTCGGCGAATGAGCATATGAAGCTACGGAGCAGAGAACTTGTCGGCAATTAGCAAACGAGCAGTCGCCTATCAGGCGCGTCAGCAAACGTGGTAGCCTATATGCCTTTGCTCCTATGTGGTTGTCTTCGTTTTTTTTTGGATTCATCTTCACTCATTCCTGCGGCAACGTGGGTCATTTTTCATCATTAATAAGAACACATTCTAATGGCCATAAAAATAAACCAAAATTTAGCTAGGAGGCCACGGACGGAATATAGACTAAAAGGCATTTTAGGTCGCTTATATTGTGGTGGAACTGCTAGTGCAGCTGGACGAAAAATGTTCTTAAAAACATGATCAAGAAGATGCGAAGCATCAGACGTATACATTATTCCACAGTGAAAGAAAAGCGATTTAATCGTAAAAGTGACATACAACCGCGACTGCCTGGGCTAAAATATCGCAATGACTATTTTTGGTGTTGGTAGTGGTTAGTTTTGACTGCGGAGGATTCATCTATCGCAGCACCGATCTTTCAATAAACGCACCTCCGGTGTTTAATGTCACTGTGCAGATCTACTTTCTAAGAGGATTATTCATTAACTCACCAAAGTGTTCAAGTTTATAACTAACTTCGAACAATAAGTTTAGTTCGGGTTTCTGATTTTGTTCAGAAGAGAATACTTAATCTGCCATGAAACAGAGGGACAAAATTTGTTGTCTATTTTTACCCAACTGAATGCTGGCTGACACATTTTTTATTTTCTGCTTTAAAAAGCATTTCGAAAGGCAGTTATGTGCGGTCTCTGAATTACCGTTTGTGCCGTCGGTATGCGACCGTGAGGTGGTTCTTATTCAATTTTCCCGTTTTCAATGTTCTTCCCAAGCAAAATGGGTGCAAATCTTTCGGAAGAAGGTCCAGCTTCGTCGTAGCTGCACACCAGTACCTAATTTTCATCAGTAATATTTGTCCAAATTCTGCCCATTTGTGTTTTCCCGATTTCCACCTAATACCAAGGATTCGTCATAAACACCTCGTTTACCCCTTTTTTTCCCGCATCTGTCGAGATTTAATGGCTGTTGTGTGGGTAATACACTAACTCGTCTGTCGGACCTCACTTAAACGTGCACAAACATTTGCGCAAGCATTCGGGGCGCAATATCAGGGGGAATCATTCGCGAGCCAGCAGTAGGTAAACACCCATTCGAAGGGATGGCTACGTCCACGTCCGCAAAAGAACAGCACGCACACACACAATATACTAGTTATTTTTATGCACTTAGGTGGTCTATTCGCGAAAATAAGCGGCCCGCCAGGCAGACTGTCTGATGTGATGTTGCTAGTGTTGGGAAAGACGGCACGGAGTTTGCAAATAGCAAATTCGGCCTTTGCGAGGGGCGTTGTGTTGGCACATTATCAAACACAAGGCTATGGACTGCTAGGACCTCCAGTGTATGTGCAAGTGCGCCTGCTCTCTTTATTGAATGGAGAGACAAAGACAATCTTTAACATATCTCACCTACCCCCGCCTTCTGGTTATGTGGGCCGCATATCCACCACTGTTTGGAGTATATTTTTACAAACACACCCACACCGGCAGGGAATTTCTACACAGTCTCAACATGTAAATACGTACGTCTGTTTAACGAACGCGATATTTAGATAGAGATAGACTAGTGGGGCGATATTGTCCCATTATTATTTAACTGTAGTATAGTGTGCATACACTGATAGCTCGTCCATCGTGACTATCGCCCGACAGAGAATGGAGCTATCTTGATTAAAGTTAACGAGATATGTGCTGCATCTATCTCGCCTCAGTCTAACCGCAACTATACTGTGTTCGTTTGGCATGATACTAACAAGAAGACCAGGGATAAACGTGACGCGGTAGCCAGCAACACTAAGCAAATTGTCAATGCACTCCACATGCGACCTTTTCACTGACTTCCACATTTAAATAAACGGATTTTTGACATCACAGAAGAAACTGATAATATAAAAACCGCAATAAAAATGGTCATTGCAATCTGACCTCCATTCAAAAGGCAAGCTTTCAGTCGACAAGCTTCAAGGCCACGTCTTCTTGCTTATAAGTATAATTTGAGGCGCATCGGGTTTACTATAGTTAGAGATGCGCTGAATTGCCATGGAAAGGGCGCATCAGTATCGAGTTCACTGTCTGATCTCTCATCCATTCACTGGTGACCTGTCTAAACGACCGACTGAATGGCGTGATGCAAGACTGCCACCTAATGCGAACCAACATTCAAGAACTCGAGCACACATAAAGCGGCTCGCTTAGCTCTCACACACTCGCTGTGCGGCACCCCTTTAGTTATATTGCAATAGCGACATGGACAATTTGGGGCCATTGTCAATACCAGAGACGCCATGTTTCGTTCTTTGAAAACAATAAGGGCCCGCAGCTTCCTCAGATTAATTTGCAATAAATTCTATACAAATTAGTGTTTATGTTAGGGTTAAATTCAGGGCTAAAGTAAGATTGAGCATTAAGGGTTGGGTAACGCTTAAGGTCAGGGCACAGCAGATTTACCTTGCCCGGAATATAGTGCAAACCCACTTTTCGAGATGCGAATATCTTAACCTAGTTTTCATTTGGTTTGTTTTTATCTGTTTCAAGTGCAGTATTCTGATGTCCCCGTTTTGTACAGGGATACTCTACTGGTCCTGCGCATGTGTAATTTTGTTTAGAATTTATTCATTAGTGACCGTTGGAAGGCATGCGTCTAAGTGATGACCTTAGCGTATGCTGTGGTAGGCTACTTTATATCAATATTTTAATTCGATGATT